AAATCAGCTGGTGGCAGCGACGTCAAATGTAATAAAATCTTTATAAAAGTGGGACACATTATATATATGATTGAGTGTACAAAACTCCACATGTTATTTATATGATTAACAAAAATCCTTCACCTAATACGTTTGTTTGTACGCTCAAGTCTTTTTTTAAGGGTAATTTGTTAAATTAAATAATATATAGAAATTAGACTTGTGCTAAATTAATAAAAAGAAAATGTAATGTTTTTTAGCAATTAGATGAAAAATAGAAGTGTTTATTTTTCATGCAATAATTAACTCGTATATGATTGCACGTGAACTAGAAAAAGTCCTTTACTACAAAGCCCGTGACCGACCGTAACACGTGGCAGACTTCCCAAACGACAGATAAACCTCTGCATGCTTCTTGCAAACTGCCCACCAATAGTTCCTCATCCATATTTTTTTTGTTTTTATTTATATATTTATTATTTATTATATTTATTTTTTATTCAATATATCTTCTAGATTTTGTGCAACTTTTTAGTTTATATCCATCCATTTTGTGAAAAATGCAGTTTCTGATATACCACAATTTAATATTTACAAGCCGAGAGATACATCTTACGATCATTTTATTTCAAAATCATGTGGAGCTCAGGCGAATAGGGTAAAACGGGTACGAACTGAAGAATATTCCACATAATTTAGAAGATTTCACTAAATTTTACACCGCAAAAACGTACATGTAAAAAGATTCATAGTTGAGAATATGATTATAATTACCTAAATATGAAAGATTTTTTTTAGGTGATCTTACTTATTTACCCAATTAATTATTCAAGAAAACTATGATTAATTATAGTATGTATGGCTACACACTATACTGAAACTAGTAAAGCAAATGGTCCACTTAACAGTACAATACAAGAAAAAATGATCAAAAAAATACAAAGAAGATTTGTCTTGTACATTTTCATCATAATAATTAATACCATACAAAATATCTTGAAGGTATATTATTGAATTACTTATAAAAGTTATCTCAAAGGTTTAACAAAGTATTTTACACTAGAACCTCGATAAATTAGTAATCTTACTTGAATTATATTTTTTTCCAGTCTCGACTCGGTAAAAATGTACTAAATCTTTAGTTTAATAATTTAATATTTCACTTAATAGAATTTTGCTAGTCCAAGTTATATTAATTTACAGATGTTTGATTGTATTAAAAAAAATCAACCGCATCTTATAAATTATAATACCTTTCCATATTTTTATTTTACTAATGGCACCTAATATTTCAATGAGTATTTATATTCTTTGAGAGTACTTAGATAAGTATTTCTCAAAATTATAAACTTTTTTTCAAGGATATATTTTACAATTCACCCCGTATCAGTATCAGCGGCGAATCCATGAATTTATCTGTACTCCTCATAGCCTTCAAAGTTCATAACGGCCCAATAATTTTACATTAAAAAAAGAAAAAAAAAACCAAATAATATAGATTATAGATAATAGATAATACAGTACAAATAATTAATATATTTTCCTTACAAAAATATAATAAATCTCTTTCATTATATGCTTAGAGCCCATGCACATTTCCTTGTCATGAATAATTAAGACTTTAGGTTCTTCACATGCATACTAAAATCTTGTAGCTGTTATTTTCAATACTATCACAAAATCTGAATTTTTCCATCTATAAAATCATTCCACCATATTTTCACCAAAGCCAACACTAAATCTTATCCCTTCTTAGCAATATGGAGCACTCTTCCATTCTTGCAACACTACTCCTCTTCACCATTTGCCTCTCTACATCTTCCAATGCCGCTATCCGCGACCCGTGCCCGGTTCCGAAAACGGGTTCGGATCTATCCGTAATCCACATCTACGGCAAATGCTCGCCCTTCAACCCGCCAAAGCCCGCAACTTCATGGGTCAACACGGTCCTCAACATGGCGTCCAGCGACCCAGAGAGGGTCACCTACTTGTCGAGCCTGGCGGCACAGAAGCCCACGTCGGTCCCCGTCGCCTCCGGCCAGGTCATCAGCACCGGCAACTACGTCGTCCGGGCCAAGATCGGGACACCCGGCCAGCTCATGTTCATGGTCATGGACACAAGCAACGACGCCGCGTGGGTCCCGTGCACCGCATGCAACGGCTGCTCATCCACCGCGGCCGCATTCGCGCCAAACACCTCCACCACTTACGGGCCTGTTGACTGCTCAGTCCCAGACTGCACAGCAGTCAGCGGACTCGCGTGCCCCACCGACGGGTCGGGCAACTGCCAGTTCACCCGACCCTACGGTGGGGACTCGATCTTTTCAGCCACACTCTCGCGCGACACCCTAACGCTGGGCAACGACACCATCCCTAGCTACGCGTTCGGGTGCGTGAACGCGGTTACGGGCGGGTCGGCCCCGCCCCAGGGTTTACTGGGTCTGGGTCGGGGCTCCATGTCGTTGTTGTCTCAAACCGGGTCGCTCTACTCGGGCGTATTCTCGTACTGCTTGCCGAGCTTCAAGTCGTACTACTTCTCCGGCTCGCTCAAGCTCGGCCCACTCGGCCAGCCCAAGAGCATCAAAACCACACCACTCCTCAAAAACCCGCACCGCCCGTCGCTGTACTACGTAAACCTCATCGGTATCAGCGTGGGCCGGGTCAACGTACCCATTGCACCGGAGCTACTAGCATTCAACCCGAGTAGCGGTGCGGGTACCGTAATCGATTCGGGTACGGTTATAACCCGGTTCGTTCAGCCAGTTTACAACGCGACCCGTGACGAGTTCAGGAAGCAGTTGGCGGGCCCGTTTAGTACGTTGGGGGCGTTCGACACTTGCTTTGCTGCGACGAATGATGAGGTGGCGCCGGTTATTACGTTGCACTTCGAGGGACTGGATTTGAAGCTGCCGTTGGAGAATAGCTTGATACATAGTAGCTCGGGTTCTTTGGCTTGTTTGGCTATGGCGGCTGCGCCGAATAATGTGAACTCGGTGCTGAATGTGATCGCCAATTTGCAGCAACAGAATCTTAGGATTCTGTTCGACACCGTTAACTCCCGTGTCGGCATCGCCCGTGAAGTCTGTAATTAGGCTACTTCCATCTCTCTCTCTCTCTCTCTCTCTGGATGTGTACCATCTTTTTGCCTATTTGAATTGTAATGCAATGTTTCATCTGCCAATTGGCAGTTCAAACAAATATTGCTGATGTATGAATTATGATGAATATTCCATGAGACTGTGTTTTGATTTAATTATTTCAAATCCATCAAATTAACACCATAGCTAATTAAAATGAGAGATAACATTTTAAAATTTATCCAAACAAGTTCAATAAATTTGTTATTACAAAAATACCCATAACCGAAATCATCCATCGAAGCCACTCGTTTACTGCAATTGTGTAATAAAAAACCTACCGTAACAGATGATTACTAGACAACAATATTAGTTTTTCTAAAAAAAAAACTAAAAGTACATGATGATACAATGTATATATTACAAGCGATCGAGAGACGAAAATAATATAATAGAACATTTAAAAAAAAGAAAAAAGATCTTCGGCTAATGCTGGACCACGTTGAACCAGAAAAACAGGGAAGTGCGAGCATATATGACACGAACTTGCTGCAGAGAGAGGGTCCCACTCGTCAACACAGCTTTCGCACCACCTTCGATTCTTGTTCTCATTACAGTAACACAGTCAGCGTTATTGTTCTTCATTACGGGCTGCGAAAGAGAAAGTTGATCGGAGGAAGTTGCAGTTGTGACAATGGCATGAGAGAGATGGTCCAAAGGGTTCGATTCGCACTGAAGAATACATCCGTCGATTGTGAGACGCCCACTCCTATGCAGAAGGCAACAACCGAGCTCTGCCCTCACTGTCAAGTTTGCTAGTTTGCATGTCGATAGAAACTCCAGTGCGCTGTTTGAAGGATAAGGAAATAAATAATGAGTGTAAAATTTTCTTGATGATGGAAAAAATTTTGGTCGATTTTTCGTTAATTAATCGTTTTTTCTTGATTTGACATAATGGGGGATGATGACATTTTTGCCCACGAAATCTCGTTGGGTTTGGCTAGGGGTGGAAATCGGTCGGATTGGATTGGAAATTTGCACTTTTGGGAAAAAAATCCATTTTTTTAAGTGAAAAACTGATTCTAATTCCGTTCCAAAAAACATCCGATAAACCGGAATTTTGGAAATTGGAATGAAAAAGAATGTTTTAAAATCGGATTTTTTTTTATCGGAATCGGTGGGATTCAGGAATTTCCATCTTTTAGTCACCTAAAATGTAAAATGCATAATATGAAACGAATTTGGAATTTTTGGAAAAATCGGAATTTTGGAGTGAAAAAAGTAGTTCCAAAATTGGAAAATTTCGGAGGGCGGAAATCGGAAATTCAGTTCCAATTTCCACCCACAGATTTGGCGGTAAAAGATTTACAAATGTGAATTTAATAGGGGATTATATTATTGTTCCGGTTCTCGAGGTGAAAAGTCGACCAATCATTGATGTAATTAGCAGACTTAAGAAAAACAGAAATCACTCCATTTCTTTAAATTGAGAAACGAGAAAGAGAGGCAAAGGGTAATTGAAATACTGTCAAACCTATCAGAGCCACGTGAGCATATGAGTGTTGTATCATCAGGAATTTCACCTGCACCGATCTGCAAATAAAAAAAAAAACGTGGATATAAGGTACTCTTTCTCTCTCTCGTATAGTACAAGATGCAGGCCAAAGAGTTGACTGCCTTTGACTTAATCGTAAACATAAAGTCAACATGTTGAGCCAAATTCCCGATTTTGACTACCTTGCACACCATCACATTTGTTTCTCTTCCAAATGTAAGTCGAGAGAAATTCAACAAATGATTTTGAAGATTAATTGCTAATTTTGAAATAAGAGAATGCAAAAAATTACCAGACAAAGAGGCTTTTTGATCTGGATATTGGACGTACGGTGAATCCCTCCAGCTGCAATAAGTATAGTGTCACCGGGCCTGTAAAAAAGCGTGTCGAATTTCAGAAAGAAAAAAAAAGATCATCTTTTGTGATGAGCTAAATATTTAAATTAAAACTGAATATAATAATGATCATCTGTTGTTGCTTGTTTCACTGACCTGGCAGCAGAGACAGCTGTCTCAATGCTGGGGTAAACTCCAGGTTCGGTCAACTCTTTGACGGAGCGGTCAACTCGAAGCCAATGCTGAGGATGACATGCCAGAAAACGCCATCTGCGGCAAACGAGGGCGGTGTTATACCGATCTGCAAACTCACCGGAAAATCATGACACAATACTTCTACTACTACAGTTTTTGAAAATACTTGTGCGCTTAGATATACATTTTCCCTATAACCATTGCGTAATATGGGATAAAATACAGCCAATCTTTACATTCCACTCGAGAACGAGAATCGAAAAATTTACCCATAATCCCCGTCTCGTAGTAGTCCTACGAAATTATTAACGGTTTACGTCCACATTTATAACTCATTTCGACAAAAAAAGAAAAGAAAAAGTGTATCTGTGTGGTTTAAACGATAAAAATTGAATCTTGGGGAGATTTAATTCATTAAAATAAGCAAAGAGAACCCCAGTTTTGAATAAATTAATCCAAACAGTAGGTAAAATAAGAACAATTTACACAAATTCATAGTAATTACAGTCAACCTATAATTTTATTTTTTTAATTATCAAAAAAAATTAGAAACCTACACTTTTGAGTTTTTACATTAACACGTTAGTACATTTCCACCACTCGACCGAATCAAACTCGATTTTTCTACGAAATTGAACTCTGAAAATCAAGACAAAAATTCACCACACAGCCTACTCAAAACGGAATTAATTATACCCAGATGTGGCAATAAATTCATGACAGCGATTCGATACAAATTCGAGTCAAATCGATAATTTAACCTAAAAAAAATAAATCAGGTAGAAGAAACTGAAAATACCTGGAATGGGGGAGAGGAAGCTGAAAATAAGCATAAGACAGCCATCATCGAGTCGATTTATTTGAGAATCATAAGAGCTTTTCTTCGAGTGGCGACCTAATTTCTTGAATTTAGGTTTATCTGCTGCCGCCTCCATCAATTTCAGATTTTTACCCAAAAATTAATTTTTAGGGATTTTTGGGGAAGAAGCTGTGGATCCTACAGCTATTGTACTCTTAACGGAATCTATACACTCGATATTAGGCGGTGTCAGAAATAATAAAATTTAAGGTAAATTACACCAACACCCCTAATGTATGCAAAAATAATTTTAAGGTCCCTGTAGTATTGATAATTACAGTCACACCCCTGAAACAATTATCGGGACGAGCGAGACGTGGCTATAGAACGGTGATGGCGCGGCCGGCGGGACGGAGGCAAAAAAATCTGAACAAATATCAATTTGGGGAAAAAAAAACCGAAGGAGAAATGAAATTTGGGGGCAGACGATAGGGGACACTTTGTTAAAGAAAATAGCAAAATACCAACGAGTCTTATTTAAAAGTTTTTATTACCAAAAGGTCCCAAAAGTTTATTATTATTATCTAAAAAGTCACAAAATTAAAATATTAATACTAATTTATCCCAATTAGTCATTTTTTTTTAACTCATCCTACTATTTTTTTTTATTTTTTAATAGACTAGACTATCCTTCAATATATAATAAAGATTCTTCCAATTTTATATTAATTGTCACTCTGGACGAAAAAATGTTTATCTTGTATTACATATCACTTTACAATAATGAATTAACTACTTTTTTTATATTGTTATACTTATTACCTTTGAATTGTTTCAAACACTAATTTTTATTAATAAATAAAATAATTTAACATTGAGAGAATTAGCGAGAACAATGACTAATTTTGTTATATTGGTTGTCCTATAATTCATTCACATTTATAAATATTTTTAATATTGCATGTAATATTATTTTTTTAAATGTAATAATACTTTGCATATTATTGTATTGTAATGTTGGTATTAGAAATATATTTGAA